TTAAGAGTGAAGGGTAAGCAATAAATCAAAGCAACCAGGACCTTCTCCCAATGAATAACTCATGCCTGCTGTGCTCCTCTCTGGGGTTTTTAGTTCAGCAAAGTGTGGCAGCTAACCCAATATTTGGATTGGTCATGGCTATGGAAGACCTTCACCACGATCCTGAGTTTGGAGGACTGGCCAAGCCAAACTTTGGCTTATCTGCCATCCTGTACTGAGTTGGAAAGCTTCAGTACATACTTGAGGGTCTGAAGTACAGTTTTAACACACAAGCTCTAATTAAATTCTAACATTTATTGAACTAATGAATTTAGCACCCCACAAACTCATATCAATATGGTCCCACTCACTGTCTGGCTAGCAACAGTTGTTCCAGAGGCAAAAGAGACAGCGCTCTCTGGACACAAGCCCATAGTGCAGACCCCACAGAGCTTTTTGGCAATTCCCCACACATTAAATCACAGCAGCAGACTGGAACCAGTCACATCATGAGGCCTCTACCTCCTCTCTCAATCCCCACCCATGGACGCCACGAGCAAATGGGCAGAAAAGGTGTGCCCTAGCTTGCTGGAAGAGAGCCAGTGTGGTGTTGTGGTTAGAGTGTTTAACTAAGACCTAGAAGACCAGGGTTCAAATCCTCAATCAGCTCTGAAACTCAGTGGGTGACTTTGGGCCAGGTACTCACCCTCAGCTCAACCTACCTCATAGGGTTGTTGCGAAGATAACATGCGGAGGCAGAGCTCCTAGGAAAAACGGTGGGAATAATTGTATGTATGTATGTATGTATGTATGTATGTATGTATGAAATGAGTACTTCAGGAGACAGCAGGTGCAGTGTCCCTTAAAGTTCCACCTCCATCTTGGGAACTCCCTCCTCACCTCCTCATGTTAAGAGATCTATCAAAGTATGTGTGGTATGGAGCAAGTGGATCAGGATACGTTTTTCCTTGCCTCTCATAATACTAGATCTGAGGACACCCAGTGAAGATGGTTAGAAAATTCAGGAGAGAAAACCCCCACAAAGCTCTTAGTTAAATTACTTTTACAGTGGTACCTCTAGATACGAACGGGATCCGTTCCATCTAGAAGCAAACGTAACTAGTGACAGCACGTCTGTGCACGCACGCGTCACTTTTTGCCGCTTCTGTGCATGCGTGATGTCATTTTGAGCGTCTGCGCATGCGCAAGCAGCGAAACCCGGAAGTAACGAGCTCTGTTACTTCTGGGTTGCCGCGTAGCGCAACTCGAACGCGCTCAACTCGAAGCGTATTCAACCCGAGGAATGACTGTACTCACACAAAAGGTGGCAATGGTCACCAACTTGGATGTCCTTAAAAGAGGAATAGACAAATTCATAGAGGATAAGGCCAAGCATAGGCAAACTCGGCCCTCCGGATGTTTTGGGACTACAACTCCCATCATCCCTAGCTAACAGAACCAGTGGTCAGGGGTGGTGGGGGTTGTAGCCCCAAAACATCTGGAGGGCCAAGTTTGCCTATGCCTGGATAAGGCTATCAATTGCTGCTAGCCACTACCAGATGCAGTAGTGGGACCCGAACTCTTTTCTTGCTAGAAATTGCTTCTGCCAGATGTTACAGTTGTAACTGAAGTTATTCAATCTCCATTGCAAATCAAACCAATGCAACTGAAATAGCTTGACACAAGGGATGCTCCAAGTGGTTTCTCCAAATTCAGCTGAGACTGCAACTTATGCTGGCTTCTCCAGTCTTACTATTATTCAGTCCCCTGAATAGTGGCCAAAATTGTGGAAACCTTTTGGAAAAAAGTGTATTTCCGAGGTTTGATGGCTCATAACATCATTTTTTTGCAGTAATACCATAAAATTATATACTAATGGAAAGATAATGAAGAATGTAATGCAACAAAGTTTGTTCAATTATTTGTGTTCTATCAAAAGTTATAGCCAAATAACCAGAAAAAGGAAGCACAACTTGCTTAGGTTGATATGCAGTACCTTTCCTTCATTTGACTGTAGCCCATGAGCATGAGTGTTTAGAGAGCCAATCAGGTGTCATCTTGTTTTGGCAGTGATTCAGTCAGGTCACTGTAGGATTCAGCTACTGATGTTATGTACTGGAGCTGAGAGGAGGACATTTGTCAGTGTGTTATGTGATTGCTATCAAGTTGGTTGGGGTTTTTGTGTTCTTTCATTTAGTGAGCTTGTAAAATGTAATAAAATTAAAGAAATGGTGCAAAGAGTTGACTGGTCACCCAGAAAGTGATGTAAAATAGTACTATTAAGTGAACAAGGCTACAGTTATGAAGAAAGTGGAAGAAAAATTGGTGGAAACTTAACCAAAGGTGGCATTTCTAAATTTATGAAGAGGTACAGACTTCCTGTTGTTTTTGTCCATGGAGTTTTCTTGGCAGGGATACTGGAGAGGCTTGCTGGTTCCTGCTCCAGGTGGATCACGTTTAGTTAAAACTCTAAGGTGCTACACTCAATATGCCAGCAACTTTGGAAAACTCAACAGTGGCCAGAGGATTGGAGAAGATCAGTCTACATCCCAATCCCACAGAAGGGCAGTGCCAAAGAATGCTCCAACTACCGCACAATTGCACTCATTTCACACGCTAACAAGGTTATGCTTAAAATTCTACAAGGCAGGCTTAAGCAGTATGTGGACCGAGAACTCCCAGAAGTGCAATCTGGATTTCGAAGGGGCAGAGGAACCAGGGACCAAATTGCAAACATGCGTTGGATTATGGAGAAAGCTAGAGAGTTCCAGAAAAACATCTACTTCTGCTTCATTGACTATGCAAAAGCCTTTGACTGTGTCGACCACAGTAAACTATGGCAAGTTCTTAAAGAAATGGGAGTGCCTGATCACCTCATCTGTCTCCTGAGAAATCTCTATGTGGGACATGAAGCTACAGTTAGAACTGGATATGGAACAACTGATTGGTTCAAAATTGGGAAAGGAGGACGACAAGGCTGTATATTGTCTCCCTGCTTATTTAACTCAGATATGCAGAATTCATCATGTGAAAGGCTGGACTGGATGAATCCCAAGCCGGAATTAAGATTGCTGGAAGAAATATCAACAACCTCAGATATGCAGATGACAAAACTTTGATGGCAGAAAGTGAGGAGGAATTAAAGAACCTCTTAATGAGGGTGAAAGAGGAGAGCACAAAATATGGTCTGAAGCTCAACATCAAAAAAACAAAGATCATGGCCACTGGGCCCATCACCTCCTGGCAAATAGAAGGGGAAGAAATGGAAGCAGTGAGAGATTTTACTTCCTTGGGCTCCATGATCATTGCAGATGGTGACAGCAGCCACGAAATTAAAAGACGCCTGCTTCTTGGGAGAAAAGTAATGACAAACCTAGACAGCATCTTAAAAAGCAGAGACATCACCTTGCCGACAAAGGACTGTATAGTTAAAGCCATGGTTTTCCCAGTAGTGATGTATGGAAGTGAAAGCTGGACCATAAAGAAGGCTGATCGCCGAAGAATGGATGCTTTTGAATTATGGTGCTGGAGGAGACTCTTGAGAGTCCCATGGACTGCAAGAAGATCAAACCTATCCATTCTTAAGGAAATCAGCCCTGAGTGCTCACTGGAAGGACAGACCGTGAAGCTGAGGCTCCAATACTTTGGCCACTTCATGAGAAGAAAAAACTCCCTTGAAAAGGCCCTGATGTTGGGAAAGATGGAGGGCACAAGGAGAAGGGGACGACAGATGACGAGATGGTGGGACAGTGTTCTCAAAGCAACTAACATGAGTTTGACCAAACTGCGGGAGGCAGTGGAAGACAGGAGTGCCTGGCGTGCTCTGGTCCATGGGGTCACAAAGAGTCGGACACGACTAAACAACATAAAGAGACTTCAGTCACTACAAAATCAGACTGGTAAAGGCAGGAAAAGAAGCACAACAGCAAGTGACAATAGAAGTATTGAGAGATGTGCCTACGTGACAGAAGAAAATCATCCGAGAATGCAAGATGACATGGCGCAATGTAATGTGAAGTTGAGTGCAAGACTGTTCGGTGCAGACTGCAGGAATATGGTCTAAATGCTAGAATTCCAAGGAAAAAGCCATTGCTATCTTTCAAACAAAGGTTGAAAAGATTAAACTGGGCTAAAACCCATGTTAACTGGACAGCGGAACAATGTGACAGTGTTATTTGCAATGATGAGACCCAAATCTCCTTGTTTGGTAGTGATGGCATGAAATAAGTGAAAAGGAATCAGAGATTTACATCCTACTTGCATTACACCTACTGTGAAACACCCAATTAGTGTTATGATCTGGGGATGTATGACAGCAAAAGGTGTGCCCAGAATTTGTGTCATTAATGGGAATGTAAATGCCGTAAATGCCCAAAATGCCGATGAAGCGTCGGACACAACTAAACAACAAGAAATGCCCAAAAATACATAGCCCAGACCTTAACCCAATTGAAAATCTATGGAGCCGACCAAAGAAACTTGTTAGTCAGAAGCAACCCAGCAATAAAACCCAATTAATAGAGGCAATAATTCAGTCTTAGTTTCACATGATCACAGCTGAACTGAAAAACTTGGTTCACTCCATGGGAAGGTGTTGTAAAGCCGTAATTAAAGCTAAAGGTTACCCAACTATTAAGTGACATGGTGAGAACTTTTGTATAGGTACCTAATTTCTTCTATGTGTTTCACATTTCTTCTTTTATGACTGCTGTTGTAATAAATAATCCTTCATAAAAGTTACTGCATTACATTCTTCATTAAAATATCCTTCCATTGATATATAATTTTATGGTACTACTCCCCAAAAAGTGATGTTATGAGGCATCAAACCTCGGAAATACACTTTTCCCAAAAGGTTCCCACCATTTTGGCCCCTTGTGTGGAATCCTAGTCCCCCCCCCCCACAACACGGCGCCCGCTTCTCTTCCGCCCCCCCCCCCCCGCAAATCCCGGGATCCTCCGCTGCTGCTGCCGCGGCGGCCGCCCTCTTCCCGGCCGGAAAGGGCGTCGGAGGCGGGCGTCAGTGCGGCTGCGCGCCGGGCTGCTTGGGCTGCGAGGCTTCCGTAGGAGCGGCGGCGAGGGGCTGCTTCGCTCCCGGCCGGCGTCTGAGGCGAAGGCGCCATGGACGTCGTCAAGGCCGAGATCGAGCGGAAGCGGAAGCTGCTGGAGGAGAAGGAGCTGCTCGGGGTAAGCGGGGCCCGGGGCTCCTCCTGCCGGGGCCCCAGAGGGCGGCGCGGGGCCTCCTCCCGGAGCGCGGCGGCTTTTGCCTGGCTCTGCGGGCTCTGCGGGGGAGCCTCTCGCTCGGTCTCGCCGGTGTTTCTGGCGCCCCCGGGGGGGGGGGCACAAAGGCCAGACCCGAAAGGCCGGCGAGTGGGATGAGCTTCCCCGAAAGACGGCTGGTCCCCCGCCGCGCGCCGCCCCCATAATCTGCCACAGCAAGAGACGGTTCTTCAGGCATGGAAGACATTTCCCTCCTGGCTCGAGTCGGGGCCGCCTGCTCCTTCCTTCGGGCTGCCCAGGAGCGAAGCTCTGCCCGCCCCAGCCTGGCTATGGGGCTGCCGGGGCTTTTCAGTGCCCGGAAGCCAGCAGCTGTCTCTGGATATGCCCTGGGACCATATGGGAAGAATGTGCTGGTGGCCTTTTTATATTCACGTCACTGTATATTAGATGAGAAGCCCTTTCCCCCCTCAGTGTGCTAGTTGGTACTGGTTCCTGTTAACTATCATTGAGCTGTTATGAATCTGACAGCCCATCCCATTGTGCTTCACATGACTGAAAGAAGAATGGTTAGTTGTTTATGAAACATCACAATGTAGTAACTACTTTCCTTTCTTTCAGGGAAATAAAAAATACTTTAAGCGTAGTGAGTTGGCCAAGAAGGAAGAAGAGGCATATTTTGAAAGATGTGGTTGCAAGGTAATGTGAAAGCAGTAATGGTAGTGATTCTGGTTAGCTGAGCAGTGTCTGCTTAATCATAGTTTAAAATGTATTAATAGATTAGTAGGAAATACACTGATTGCAGCATGGTTATTAGTGACTAAAAATGGGAAGAATCAAGAACCCCTACTCAAAGAGGCAGGGAAAAGAAATATATGGTGTCAGATCTTAATACGTTAAATAAAATAACTTATAACGGGCATGCAACTAAGAGATTTTTGGAATGTTGGCATAAATTTCTACAGTTCTAGAATCTGGATAAAGAAAGTATCAAAACGTTTGTGTGTGAGAGAGATTAGAGTTACTTTAAACAGTTACAATATGATGGCTAGGAAAAATTACGAATAGGTGTGTTAAAAATAATCAAATGAATGGTGAATGCTGTGTTTATATTTCCTCTATCCTTTTTATTATTTAATTTAATAAAAAATGAATAATTCTTTGTTCACTCTATCACTGTTGCACTTTAGCCTGTAAACGAGAAGCCACCAGGAGAGGTAGGAGTTTCCAAGAAAAGTTTGCAATGCAGGAAGAGGCATGCATGAATATGCAGCTATTTGAATTTGTGTTTATAGTTTGGCTTCTGTGGAGGGCATGAGGCTGCTTGAGAATAAAGCTTTTCTTTTTAAGTTGTGCTCCAGCAGGCATGTACCCTGGATCTGATATAACCAACCCTTTTGTAAAGCAAAGTAGAGGCTGCTAATTTCTAGATGCTGGCTCCATTGTGGGGTGAGGGGTATGTGTGGCCTGAATGCGTAAAAGATGTATACCTTCCTTTCTTAGGCTGTAATCCTAATCCTGTTTACCTATGAATAAATCCCATTGAATTTAATAGATTTTAACTTCTGAGTTGACATGGTTAGCCTCGACCTGTTAGCCAAGAATGTCCACTTCTTGAAAGGCTATGAAATGCAGCTTGCATTTCTTGTTGTTTAGTTGGGGTGAAATAATAACTAAACTCATACGTAAGACACATCATGACAAATAAGTCACCTGGAAGGCCTTTGCTCTTCTTTCCACCTCACTTTGATTGTATCAAAGCAGTTTGGATGTGAGGATTGTAGCGTGGAAATTTAGTAATGGGAAGTAATAGAACTAAATAATTGCCAATTTGCTGCCTTTCTTTTGGTATCCCAAAATCTGCTGCCTAAAGCAGGCCCAGTTTATCCGGTCTCATTATGGTTGGTCATAATCTGATATATCCCATAGTATCCTACAGTATCCTGTAGTGTCAGGCCTATATATATATATTTCACAAGTCATTAAGCCTATTAAAATCAAGTTTCTTTTAGACAGAATTATTAGCAGTATTCAATTTAACATATTTCAAATATGCTGTGGAACTTAGCTTGTATGAAGTAGGATTGCTGGGATAGTTCAGTCCAGTAGAGCATGAGACTCTTAATCTCAGAGTCGTGGGTTCAAGCCCCTTGTTGGGCAAAATATTCCTGCATTGCACTAAATGACTGTTAGGATCCCTTCCAACTCTATGATTCTATGGTATTTTATGTTGTTATTTTTATTTCCTTTGCAACATCTATGAAAAGATAGGGTTTATAACTTCTGTTAGAAGGAGGAGTGTTATGACTTATATCATCCATCATCATTGGACTTATGATGAAAGCTGGTGGGGCCAGGACTTAATGAGATACCGTATTGTGCACAAGCCTATACAGTGGTGCCCCGCAAGACGAATGCCTCGCAAGACGAAAAACTCGCTAGACGAAAGGGTTTTCCGTTTTTTGAGTCGTTCCGCAAGACAAATTTCCCTATGGGCTTGCTTCGCAAGACGAAACGTCTTGCGAGTTCTTGCGAGTTTGTTTCCTTTTTCTTAAAGCCGCTAATAGCCACTAAGCCGCTAATAGCCGTGCTTCGCAAGACGAAAAAACCGCAAGACAAAGAGACTCGCGGAACGGATTAATTTCGTCTTGCGAGGCACCACTGTAGCTGCAGGAGTGAAATGGAGTGCCGTGGCGGAATAATTTTGGAGTGAGGAAGGAGGCAGAATGTGTGGAGGGAGCCTGCCAGAGAGGGTGCTTTTCTTTTATAATAGAAAAAGCTGCTGGTACTCACCATGAAGTTGTTACAGTAATTGCCACACTTTTAACATTTGGAAAAAAAGGTGCCAGTACTGCATTCCCTTGAGTATTCCCAGAAAAGAGCACTGGCTTGTGTATAACTATGAAGGAAAGCATTTCTGTTATTTTCTGGCTGTCACTACAGTTTTACTAACTTACATGGCAATAATATCAAGTAGCTGTGTAATTTCTCGTTTGACCTGGTTGCTTATGTCCCACTTAGAGAAACTTGGTTAAAATATTAGGAGTGTGGATGGAGCCAGTTGCTTTTCAAATAAACAAAACTAGGAGACATTTTAGCTCACCAAGAGCCTCCCAGATCTCTGCATTTCATTGAAATGTTGTTAGTGTGTTTAAAACAAAGCAAAAAACTCTGACATTTTGCAAATGAAGGTGCATTTGCTAAAGTCCTGAAAGTACTTTTATTTTATTTTATTTGGTGCAGACATTGCTTGTAACAATCCCACTGGTAAAATGGCTTAAATCTTCTTTTTTTCCTGTCTGGGTATTAACTCCTTTATTATCATAACCAACTTCTTTTTCACAGCTATTTGGGTGTATGATAATGCATTTTAAAATACTGTTTTATACAATGAACTTAGGGCTGCTATTCTGTAAAAATCACTGTAATTTTTGCTTACTACTTAAATGGTCCCAGATGTGCACTGTGGAGCTTCCCCTGAGGAATGGAGATATGCTTGAATGGCATTCTGCATTGATAGGTGAAATTGTCACCTGTGTCTATGGTAGAGAACGGCTGATAACACACTTCTTGAAAGTATGAGACATTTCAACCAGGGTATAATAGTTTGCACAGAAAAATATTGTTATTGTTATTACCCACCATTCACCCTCATGTCATAGGCCAGGTTAAAAAGGTAAAGGGACCCCTGACCATTAGGTCCAGTCGTGGCCTCCAAATCACAATTGGAAACCATAGTTTTCAGTTACTGTATATTGTTGTCTAGTTGTTGTATGTAGTAAACATAGTTCTCCTTTTGCCCATTTTCTGAGTGGCTGATGAGTTATGCATATCACCATGATAGTTTCAATGTACTGAATACCATATTGACTATATGTAGCAGGTTTCTCTTCACAAAAACGCTAGCTTTGTTTTGTCTGAAATTATAATTATTTCCATACTTTGTGGAGTGGAGAACTGAGGAATGCTTGCAGCCTATAGTTTATCTATATGTAACTTCCGTAGACAGGGCAAAGCGAATTCTAAATTATTTTATATTACTGGCACGTCTTAGAGTTACGGTCAGGTTTTTGCATGTCGGCTGTGCTGTGTAGTGCTAATAGCTGCTCTTAGAAGCAATCAGTGTTCCTGGAAGTTTAGACTTTTTCTGTGCCCATATTTAAAACTGATTATGTTATGTTCCTTGTCTCTACCTAGGTTCAGCAGGAAGAGGAAGAGGAGGAGAAGACAGTAACTGCATCAAATCCAGTATTGGAACTAGAGTTGGCAGAGGAGAAGTTGCCTATGACTCTTTCTAGACAAGAGGTAAAGACAAATATATGGAGCTGGCAATATGCAGATAATTGTTTTGCCTTTACCAGATTAACAAATCTGCAGGGTATTTATATTTTACTGTGTGAAATTATAGTTATCATGAATTAACTATATGCCCATGAAGTTGTACAAGAGACCAGGGAATCAGCTAGCTAAATATATGAGTATATTCATCAGACTAGCTTTTCAGGCAGCAAAAATTTCACATCAGTAACTTGTACTTTACTGATTTACCTGTAGCCAGTGCAGACATAATGATGGCTTACTCTTAACTGCAGGTAGGTAAGAGATCAGGAGTTCTCCCTCACTCTCTTCCTACCCTTTTGAGAGTGATTTTCCTATTACCATACCATGCATTTACAAGGATATCACTGTTTGATGCCTAATGTTAGAGATGCTTAGAGCAGACCCATTGAAATAAATGTTCTTAACACATTGATTTCAGTGGGTCTGCTAAGAGTGAAGTTTGGATCCCTTTCGGAGCTTGAAGTATGGGTACCCCCAACAAAATTTTAAAAATCTGGCTGTATAATTTGGAACTAATGTGATTTGGAATTAATGTGATTTGATAGGCCTGTTAATAAAAATTATATTTAAAAAAAAAGATTTCAGTGGGTTTGCTGAGTATGTCAGACATTTGTTAATCATGATTAAGTCTCAACAGGCTTCCTGTTGAATTAGGATTTTAAGACAATATTAAACTGTTTTCAAATCCTGATTGAAATAAATATTCCAAGCTATAGACATATTCCTCAGTTGTTGTAAAATTGGAAAGCTCAATCTAGAAAGAGGATGGAAGCTGTGTTACATCTGTCCCAACCCTTCAAGCGTTCCTGGGCTACAACTAGCATGATTCCTGACTGCTGGTTATGCTGGTTGGGGCAGACGTAGCCCAACAGTATACGGAGGGCACCACATAGGTAACCCCCAACCTAGTTCATTGGAGATAATGTATTAATTTCCATCCACATTTCAGACATTTATATGTATGTATTGCCCCCAAATGTAGCCTAAATGTCTCCAACTTAACGTGGCTTAGGAACTCCTGTTATTCATCACAGAATTCTACTCACGTATGCGCCATAGATCAGAGGAGCAATTTTTGTAATTATATTTAGCTAAAGCGAGATGTGCACCGCAACCCCAGAGTCGGCCATGACTGGACCTAATGGTCACGGGTCCCTTTACCCTTAAACAGCTGCCACTAGTCATCATTAGGTATGCTGCTGCCCATTCTGTGCTCTTTAGCAAGGAACGATAAATTTCGTGAAAATAAGCAAGCACAGTGCTTGAGTTGTAATACCCTGTGGGGATGTGAATGGGTTGTTTGTTCTGTTTTCTTCATTTGTTTAAAAGAAACACTTGACTTTTTCCAGGTCATGAGGAGATTGAGAGAAAGGGGTGAACCTATCAGACTTTTTGGAGAAACAGATTATGATGCCTTTCAGAGGCTGCGAAAGATAGAAATTCTAGCGCCAGAAGTCAACAAGGTAAATCTGTGCATAAGCATAAGAGAGATCATTTAAAGGGCTGTCCCTGTGCAAAACTGGTGCACCTGTAACATTATAGCCATGGATATCCTGCTTCTTGTGCCCCTACCTGTGTATATACTTCATAAATATATAATGTTATAATCCCACATAGAGGGACACAGAAAGTGCCTTCTGTCATCTTGACTTCTGTCAAGTGCCTTCTATCAACTTATTACTACACTTTAGTGTTGTAAGTAATGGTTTGGATTTACAGATAACCTCAGTTGTAAGCTTTTTGTTGTTTAGAGGACAAATTTAGAAGTCACAACTTATGTATGTTACTGTAGTGAGACTTGGGATCAGTTCATGCATTTATCAGCTTCAGAGAAAGAGAACTGCCACCACTCAAATTGTGGCTGCTTGTGTGAATGACACTTCCTTTACTATTGGGCCCAGTATGCCCTTAGAGATGTCTGTGTAGGATTCTCCAATGATATGAACTCTCTCTTAATGCTAAATCATGATTATACAATTTTTATTATTTATTATTTATTAAATTTCTATTCTGCCTTTCATCCAAGGATCACAAGGCGGTTTACAACATTAAAACACAAAAATACATATAGTAACAAATAAAAGCAATGCTCCCACAGTATTGTTATTTATGATATTATTTATTAATGTTTAAAACAACTCATAGGATTATGTAGTATGATGCCATGATACTCAAAGTCTGTATATAAAAAATTGTAAGATACTTAAACATATTTTTTCAGGGCTTCAATTATGACAGTTCCTAGGATAACTCTGCATACTCTCAGCTGTTGTTTTCATTTCCATAGGGATTAAGGAATGACCTGAAGGCTGCTTTGGATAAGATTGACCAGCAGTATCTGAATGAAATTGTGGGTGGGCAGGAACAGGGAGAGGATGATACACAGAATGATCTCAAAGTCCATGAAGAGAACACAACAATTGAAGAATTGGAGGTATTATATTATTTTTTACTGTTTTCAAATTGTGACCAAGGCACCATGCTGGTAAATAAATTCTGCACCAAGAGAAGATGGATTCTGCTACTTGCAAAAAGAATGCAGATTGAGAAAATGTGCATAATTCTCATTTGTATAATTTTACAAGTTTTATAATTTCCTACTAATTTATTTAGACAAGAGACAATTGGGCTGCAGAAATTTCTGCAAGAGTTGTCCATAGTGGTTAAACTGCATGGAGGCTGGCAGAAACCTGCACCCCCTCCATTGCCTTTTTAATGACTCCCTTACTTGCTCTTTTTAAGAAGCCAGTTGGGGAGGGCATAATTTGTCTAAAATGTGAAGGGGACTGTCATGGAGAGGCTTTTGAATTTTATTATGGGTTCCCCCATATGCTTGCTGCTATGATGGCTTGAAATGTGCTCTCTACCTGAGACAGTCTCTTCCTAAGGAAGCCGGAACTTGGAGACTTCTATCACATCTCCCCTTAATTTCCTTTTCTCTACGCTAAACAAACTGCTCCTTCAGTTGTTTCTCATAGGACGTGTTTTCCTCACCCATCAACATCTTGGCCACCCTCCTCTGGCCACCCTCTAGTTTATCAGTGTATTTTAGCATGGCACCAATAACTGGGTGCACTACTCTTCAGCTGCATAGACTAGAGTGGAACTCTATTCCTTGTGATCCGAACACTCATGCTTCTGTTAACGCCACTTAAAAATTACATTAACTTCTTATAAAGAGCCACACCACACTGCCCTGTTCATGTTCAGATTGCAATCAACTCGGACACCTGTATCATCATCATCATCCTTTTTATTTGACCGTCAGTCAGAAAAAAATACATTTTATCAATACACAGTTAAAACATCCAGGAAGATTTTAAAACTTAGCCAACACTAAAATGGGCTAAACAGATAGCCCCATATCAATACAGTCAATTATGGTCTTGCGACGCTTAAAAGCTAAAAAGAGAAATTTGGCCACCAAGGAAGGTATAGCTCTAGTGGCATTATTCAGCAAGTGTAAAACCTGGATTTCTCCGGGAAGGAAGCTGAAATGACATAGGAGTGGGTCTATAAAATTTTGTCTAAGCTCTGCATAAGAAGGGCAGGTCAAGAGAATATGTTCAGTGGACTCAACCACACCCATGGCACAATGACAGGTTCTCTGGGCGTATGGTACCCCCCTGTACCTTCCCCACAATATCGCAGAGTCAAGGACATTTAATCTAGCCACTGTAAGAAGTCTACGGTATTCCACATAATGGATTTCTGCAAGGTAGGGGGCTGGTATGGTCCGATAAATCTGGTCCCCTAGGAACATCCCTGGTTTTACCTGGGCTATGTCCTCTTGTCTGGCAATGTCACTCAGTCTCCGGGAGATCACAGCTCTAGCTTGATTGTACGTCATAGACTCAAAGTAGAGGTGAGACAATCCGCAGGATTGAACCTCATTAATGGCCTCCTTTCCCACGATGATTGGAAATCATCCCTCAATATCAAGGGGCAATACCCACTGGTTTAAAACAAAGCTTGAGCCATAGCCAGAGCTTCGTCTTCAAGGCCACATACCGTAGAGCTTGCCAGCCGACCTCTAATCTCATAACCGCACCCGCTACCGAGGGGGGAATCTTGAGGATGGCTCTAAGGAATCTCGTTTGGATAGAATCCAGTTTCAAACAATCCCTACGGGAGCCTAACGAGATGCCCACCAAGAGAAGGGGAGGACTTTCATTTGAAAGAGTCTCAAAGCTATCTTCACTGATTGAGCCTGATTCTTAGCATATAGAGATCTAATCTGGATGGCTGCTTTAGATGCGTTAGTTGTTATATAGTCTCTATGGGCCAGAAAAGACCTATTTGACCGGACACCTGTATGTTTTTAATGCTAAGCCAGGTCTTCCCCATCTTAAACTTCTGTCCTTTTTGTACCTGTTTACAGGACTTAACATTTATCTCTACTTTCATCATGTTGGCCCAGTGTTGCAACCTTTCAAGGTCATTCTGAATCTTGATTCTCTGTTCTTTGATATTAGATCTACTCAGCTTCATGTGATCTGCAGTTTTTATAAGCATACCAACTATGCCAGGCATCCCCAAACTCTGCCCTCCAGCTGTTTTGGGACTACCAACTCCCATCATCCCTAGCTAACAGGACCAGTGGTCAGGGATAATGGGAGTTGTAGTCCCAAAACAGCTGGAGGGCCGAGTTTGGGAATGCCTGCACTATGCCCTCAGCCTAGTCATTTATAAAAAATGTTTGAATAGCACAGGAACCAAGGCTAGGGCCTTGTAGCAATCCTCTTGAGACTTCTTGCCATTAAAGGAGCACCTGCTGATTATGGTTGCTCACTGAACAGTAGAATTGACCAGCCCATATTTATCATTTTGTGAATAAGAATATCACGGGAGACTTGATCAGAGGCTTTGCTGAAATCAAGATACACTGTGTCCATGGCATTGCCATGAACTACCAAAAAAGGGTAAGGTTTATGTGGATGATTTATTCTAGATTAAACACATGATGAATGATAATCAGTGCATTGTTTTCAAATGTTTATGGACACTTAATAATCTGTTGGGTATCAGTGTTAAGTTGAGTGGCCGGATCCAACTCCCCCCCCCCGCCCCATTTTGGAAGATAGGGGCAATATTTACCCAACTCCAGTCTTACAGAACCTCATCTGTTTCCCAGCAATTCACAAAGATTACAGTAACTGTCTCTGAAATAAAACCTACAAGTTTCTTCAACAGCTTGCAGTATAATTTATCTGGCCCATGGGACTTGAACTCACCTATAGCAGTGTCCCTGGGCTGCCTCACCTCATACCATTTGTTCTACTTTCCCCAGTTTGAATACAATTCCACTTAGGGGCCACTGAAACAAAATTGGAATTGAGTGGTTCTGTCTTCTGTCCATCACCTGTCATTAATTTCTTCATCTTCTCCAAGCAGCTTCTGGCTCTGAACATATCCAGTGAATCCTTATATTTTTGTTTTTAGCATCCCTTGCAAGCTTTTGCTTCTTCCAGGCTTCAGCCTTGCTGAAACCATCTTTACAGGTTTGGGATCCTCCATCAAACTTGTCCTTCCTCATATGTGCCTCCCTCTGTCTCCTGGCTGTGTCTTTTTAAAGTCTCTGCTGATTGGAGAGCTCTTTGTGCATTCACTGGCCTCTTTGGATGTCTCCTGTTTTCTCACTGGAATGGTTTGCGACTGTTTTTCACTATTTCCACATTTGAAAATCTCCCATTCCACTTGTGCTCTTTTTTTCTTATTCAGAATTTCTAGTCATGGAATTCTATGGCTTCCTAAAGCTGTCTTTCCTTAAAGCCCAAGGTACAAATCCAACTTGGCTTTGTTTGTATTTCCCTTGCTATCACATAGGAATCTGCCTTAGACCAACGCAGACCACTGATCGGTGAGACTCAGCACTGGCTGGTAGCAGTTCTCCAGGGTTTCAGGCAGGATTCAGTGATGGTCCTACTGGGAGACACCAGGGATTGAACCTAAGACCTGTTGCATGCAGACTTATGCTGGGCCACAATATATATATCACACGTTCCAAGATGATATAGTTCCCCCAAGGCTCACACCACTTTCACTTCATCAAGCAGGTCTTTATTAAGTCCAAGATCTCAGCTCCTTCCTTGTTCCTTTGGCAGGTTGATCAGGAAGGCAAAAATTTATTAGACGTTTGATTGTTAGCAGATTCCAGGGCAGTTGAAGTCCTCCATTACAACCATCATATTCTCTTTTTGTAATCTGTTGTAGAAAATCATCACCCACATTTCCCACTTGGCTGGGTAATTTGTAGTATGCTGCCACAATGATGCCACTTTTGTTTTTCTCTCCTTTTATCCTTACCCAGATGCTTTCAACAGAGCTTCCACTCTCAGATTCATGGATTTCTGTGCAGGTGTGTGTGCTTGTGTCTGTGTCCCTTTCCCTTTCTGGACTCTATTCCTTTAGAACAAGATACTGCCATCACTTCTAACATCCATTCACAAGCCTCGTCCCATCAAGTGTCAATGAGACCTATTGGGTCAACTTACCTGCCTGTATTATGGTATTAAAATCATCCTGTTAGTTTCCCATACTGCTGTGTGCTGGTTAGTACATAGACTTTGAAATCTATGGGTGCTGCACCCTCTCAGTTTTCGTGCTGTATTTACTGGAAAGTTGCTAGGCATCACCTTCATTGCCCTGTGTTTTCCTTTCTTGTCTCTCATACATGGCTCAGTTCTTATCTCTGGGCTTTGGGTTCCCTTCCCTGCAGGGTTAGTTTAAAGTCCACATGATGAGGCTTGTGGGGCTCCTGCCAAACACATCTCCCCCATCCTCATGAGTTGTACCCCATCTCTTACCAGAAATTCATCATTTGGGTAGCACTGGCTGTGGCCCAAGGAACCAGACCTTTCCTGATGATCAGCAGGAATGGAAGACAATTGTTGGATTTGATGAGTCTCTGCATCCTCTCTGTTGTGTCTTGGAGGGCAGCACCACTCTTGAGATAACATGTCATGTCTGCACTCAGCTGTGTCTGTCTCTGGGGAATCTCTTGTTCAGAGGAACAAACTGAAAAATTCCATAGAATATATGAGTAAACACTGGGATGTGACTTGGTTAGCATTCTCAACCCTGACTTACGAAATTTAAAGGGAGAGCCTTTCAAGAACACTGTGAAGTACTTCCTAATTTTATCTGTAATATTATGTTCTTTATGTAAACTTGCATCAGTTATTTTTGTTTTTGGAAGACATCTCAATGGAAAATCTCTTTTGCAGGCTTTGGGAGAATCTTTAGGACAAGGGGATGACCATAAAGACATGGATATCATAACCAAATTCTTGAAGGTAAGTAGCCTAACAAGCAAGAACCTCTGGCCTGTAAGCAATCATGGCTGGGGCATCATCATTTTCTAGGACTATTCTATTACATGGAAAATGTTGATTCATTTATAGTATGATATAATAATAATTAATAATTTATTGTTTATACCCCGCCCATCTGGCTGGGAAATAATTACAACCCAATCAGATACATATCTCTCTATCCAGAATTAACTAACATTGCAAGTACTATTTCTTTGTAAGTAAATGAATGGGGTTGCAGCTTTAGTTTATGGACACTGTTCATATTTAGCCACTGTGTGGCAGTGTGGCTTAAATTTGTTTGTCATCTTCAGTTTCTTCTTGGAGTCTGGGCTAAGGAGTTGAACGCCAGAGAAGATTATGTAAAACGTGGTGTACAAGGCAAACTAAACAGCGCCACTCAGAAGCAGACAGAATCATACCTGAGACCTCTGTTCAGAAAACTTCGGAAAAGGGTAACTTCAGCAACACACTATCTTAAGTCTTCTACTAAATTTAGGCATGAATGTTTTACCAGCAGACAATTCTTACCCTCCGTTCCACACTTTGTTTACAATCTAGCTTGATGATGAGAACTCAGAATCTCACACTGTTTTGTGATGTTTTGATTGACCTAATAAAGGTTTTGCCGTATTAGGGATTCTGGAATTAAGCAAGACTGCTTTTCAGTCACCCTTTTCTAACTGTGTAGCACAGTGGAGGGGAATTTCCAGCCTGTGAGCCAAAGTTGGCCTATAAGCCTCACCATTGGGCTTCCAGGCTGTTTTGGCTAAGCCATGCTCAACTGCCCTACATCTGATGCCATGTGTGATGTCAGGTATGAGGCAGGAAAGGTTGGGACTTGGCCTAAAAGGGCTTTACTCAGTGTGTTCCAAATGGGGAACAACCAGCTGATTTTCGGGCACTTTGTAAGCCCTGTGCTCAACCCTAGTGAAGTGCTGAGCACAGGGATTGCAAAGGGCCCAACAACCAGCTGATTGCTGTGCTTCTGGGGTGTCACTGTGACATCAGGTGCTCCCACACACCTGTCACAGTTGGCCGGTGGAGTGGGGAGGGGATAAAGATCTGACCCCTGGGGCCAAAATGCTTCCCCACCCCTCATGGAGTGTGTGCAGTGACATTTTCTTTTTCACAGACGGAGGAAGTGAAACAGACTGCTAATCTGTACAATACCAGGGGATGAGATAAATACCTTTCTGGATCTTCTACTTTAGATCCACTGACATGGCCATTTTTTAATTTGCCAGTTTTCTTTCTAGTCTTAGTTAACATTCACTTTTACAACATGTCTGCCTGTGCACAAGATCAAGACAGTAATTCCTTTTTTATAGATAGAAATTAAGGTTGATTTGCAGTAACCCACAGGAAGTCACATAGAAATCCATGGAAGAGGAGTAGAGATGTGAAACCTTTCTTCGAGCCAAACTCAGCTCTCTTGTTAGTCACACTAGTGTTGAACTCACCACACTGTGGAAAACAGGATACAGAAGCTTTGTGGAGCAGCACAGTTCGCAATGGCAGGGGAGAAGGCAGGAAGACTAACAGTAGGTGGAGCCAGTCAGTGACAGGCAGATCCACCCCGTGACTGGCGGCATGGAAGAAGGCGGGCACGGGCAAGGGATTGGCGGAGGGAAGACAGATGGGTGAGGCTGTTGTCGTTTAGTCATGTCCGACTCTTCGTGACCCCCTGGACCAGAGCACGCCAGGCACTCCTGTCTTCCACTGCCTCCTGCAGTTTGGTCAAACTCATGTTGGTAGCTTCGAGAACACTGTCCAACCATCTCGTCCTCTGTCGTCCACTTCTCCTTGTGCCCTCCATCTTTCCCAACATCAGGGCCTTTTCAAGGGAGTCTTCTCTTCTCATGAAGTGGCCAAAGTATTGGAGCCTCAGCTTCAGGATCTGTCCTTCCAGTGAGCACTCAGGGCTGATTTCTTTCAGAATGGATAGGTTTGATCTTCCTGCAGTCCATGGGACTCTCAAGAGTCTCCTCCAGCACCATAATTCAAAAGCATCAATTCTTCGGCAATCAGCCTTCTTTATGGTCCAGCTCTCACTTCCATACATCACTACTGGGAAAACCATAGCTTTAACTATACGGACCTTTGTCGGCAAGGTGATGTCTCTGCTTTTTAAGATGCTTTCTAGGTTTGTCATTGCTTTTCTCCCAAGGAGCAGGCGTCTTTTAATTTCGTGGCTGCTGTCACCATCTGCAATGATCATGGAGCCCAAGAAAGTAAAATCTCTCACTGCCTCCATTTCTTCCCCTACTATTTGCCAGGAGGTGATGGGACCAGTGGCCATGATCTTCGTTTTTTTGATGTTGAGCTTCAGACCATATTTTGTGCTCTCCTCTTTCACCCTCATTAAAAGGTTCTTTAATTCCTCCTCACTTTCTGCCATCAAGTTTGTGTCATCTGCATATCTGAGGTTGTTGATATTTCTTCCGGCAATCTTAATTCCGGCTAGGGATTCATCCCGCCCAGCCTTTCGCATGATGAATTCTGCATATAAGTTAAATAAGCAGGGAGACCCCTCATTTATCCTAGTGGATTAGCTTCCAGTGCTCATGTTTTTCTCTCCAAGGATAGTGAAGCAGAGCCATGAGGACACTCAGCGCATGGCAACAGTGAGCTGCCTGCCTCTGCCACTCAGATTCTCTTAGCCTGGAGCAGAGCTGGAGCACGACGGGAGTGGTGGCTGAGTTGGTGGGGTGGCTGGGAAAAGCAAGGAGAAACAGTACTCTAGACAAAGCAAATTAGTGGGATTGGCTGCTTCCCTGCAGATTTGCAAATATATAAAAGCTCCTGTAAGTCTGAACCCTCCACTCATACGCAAAGGTGTGTTCTTTGTCGCAGCATAATTACCCACTTGAGGTCAAGCTTCTCTAATTCTGGTCTGTCTCTGGATCAGGTGTGATTGGCTTTTGCAGCCACTTGCTTTCAAAGGAACTGCCATGCTGCTCTGGAAGTGTGCCTGCCTCAGTCACTCGGGCACAAACAAAGGGGCTGGGTTTCTCTCAGGCTGGCTAGTTCTTACTGTCTCCAAAAGTAAGCGTTTTTGGCTGTGAGGGTTGATCTTGTCTGTGGTCTTATTTAAGATATAGTGTGCTATGAGAATCACGAGTTTCGTTGCCTACTTGATATTTGCTGTTTTGTCTTTAGAATATCCCTGCTGACATCAAGGAATCAATAACGGACATTATCAAGTTCATGCTGCAAAGGGAGTATGTGAAGGTACTGAACTTTTACAGAGTCGATGATATTTGTGTTTTGTGGCGTAATTGGCTTGAGGCAGGTGCAGGCCAGACCTTCATCTTCCATCACTCCCTCGAGCAAAAAATAAACAAATTGATGGGGGGTGGCGCATCTACCTCTCGATCACCTGGTGTCACAGTGATGTGAAGTGACATTTGAAGCCCCAACAATTAGGTGACTGTTGGGACTTCAAAGCACCATTGATCAGTGGGGCTTCAAAGTCCAGCCCAGGACTCCTTGCAAAGAACCCTTCACTGTGCTTTGTAGCCCCCACAATCAGCTGATCGTCAGCACTTCAAATCACTGTGCAGGGCTCTTTGGAAGCTGATTGGCAATGCTTCTGAAGCCCCTTTTGGCCTAGCCCAGCTGTATTTTTAACCACTTGCATCTGATGTCATATGGGACTTCGGACGATTGGCGACTAAGTGTGACTTTGCCAAATGGCCTGGGGGGCCTAATTAGGTCTCGTGTTGGAGGTTCCCCACCACTGCATTAAGGGATGTGAAAGTCTCTCTAGCTTAACCCTTCAGAGAAATATTATTAGCTCTAATAAGCATAGAAATGCAGGTTCAAACATGTATAAGTTGTTGTTTAGACCTTTAGGTGCAGGGATGGGAGAACATATTGCATTGTATGATTCTTTGAGACTTGGACCGGCTAACATTCAGGTTTGCATGTGGACATTGTCAGACACTGACTGGGCAGGGTGGGTTAATCACATAACGCTGCCCAAGCTTCTGAAAAGTTCTGTTCTGTGTTGATTAATTAGATCTGGGGAATGCTGTATTTTATAGTGGTTTTTTGTGTTTTGTTTTAAACTGATCTAGTAAGATTTTTACTGTTTCAAGAAATGCTAATTTTGGTGCCTTGTCAGTGAAAGTAATAATTATTGTGAAGCCATTTTGCATAAAGCTTGTAAGCATGAGGACTGCAGGTGTGCTCTGGCCTGTGGCTCTAGAACTATTAGCCACAAAATCTGAAGATGGGGCTCTTGGCATTCTTTTAGCTATCCCTGCAGGCTCTGTGCCTCCCCTGGTGCCTTTTGCCTTGTCCGTCAGTTGCCTGCCTTTATTTCTGCAGGCTAACGATGCCTATCTGCAGATGGCCATTGGGAACGCGCCCTGGCCTATCGGCGTCACTATGGTGGGCATCCATGCGCGAACTGGTCGAGAGAAGATTTTCTCAAAGCACGTGGCTCACGTTCTGAATGATGAAACTCAGAGGAAATACATCCAGGTGAGATAAAGAGTGGTGGATCCATTGTCCGGAGAGTCACTTTCTTTAGTCTTAAGCATTCAGCATTTGTAAGCACAAACAGGAGGCTTAAACCTGCCCCGTTCGGCCCCGGGGCTGCAACTCTCCTGCGTCTGGTCTTGGTTACCAGCATGCCATTCTTGTATTTATCTCTGCAGGGCTTGAAGAGGCTGATGACCATTTGCCAGAAACATTTCCCTACCGACCCATCCAAATGTGTGGAGTACAATGCGCTGTGACAATGTGGATACGCAGGTTATGAGAGAAGAAAGCAGTCTCTATGAAATGCTCTCAGTTTGGGAACTGGAGTGAGCTGGGGTGGGAGAAGAAAGGCGTGCGGCTTTACTGAGGCTCAGTCGCACAGATCACATTCATTTTGTCTTTTGATGAACCTTTATGTCTTCTTCAAGTCCTGGGCTGGAACATGTTGCCGGCTTGTCTCGCTAGCTTGAGGACAAGTTTGTATATGTGTGTGTTTCCTTTAATTTTTATCAGAGCAAAAGTTCAGTTCTACCTTGCCTTTTAGATTTTGAGCCTCCTTGCTTTATAAGGACTGATTTCATCACAGTTTTGAAACATGAGTTGTATTTATCATTGTACATAGGACCATTTAATTTCTTGTTACTTCATTTATAGGAAAAATATATTTCTAAGAAATGCACCCAAGCTTTTGATTGATTCATTGATTTTTGTATCAGAAATTATTTTTCATGATTGTCACCAGGACACTTAACTCCACACTGTGGTGTGAGAACTTTAGGGTGAACAGAACTGGTCCAGCTAAACTGGTATCCTGCTACCTCTGTCTTTGTGCATTATGACTTCGTTATCTTATAAAATGCTATCTTGTCTTTGGGGGGGGAGTCTGGAGGAATTTTCTGGCACCAAAATTTGAACAATAATTTGTAGGATCATGATAATCACACTGTTAAATAACAGGTAAAAGGAAAAGATCTTTCAGAGAACCCTTCTCCGACTTTCACCAGGAGCAGGGCCAGCGGTGCACTCTTCCTGGCGCCCGTGTGCCAGCCCTGTTTCCCTTTCCCACAGGTGAAATCCCCAATGGAGAATGAATCACGAGCGACAGTGGGTTTTTCTTTTGGGAAAACAGGTTGCAAACAGACTTTATTGTAACAGATCTGAAGAAGGAGTTTTGGTTCTTCCTCTTCCACAGAAATGTAACAAACAGTGCTGTTGCTTTTTATTAAAACGTAAACTGTCTCAAGTTATAGGCTGTATGCTGTTCGGGCTTAAGGTTACTTTCTTCTACGCATTTTCCATAGATCAGACTTCTCCACTCCCACTTCAGGAACGGCGGCTTTTAACTGGACTGTTTCCCTGCAGACCCCAAATCCTCCTTGGCCTCAGAACCACCGTTGCCCTTTCCTGTCAGAGGACCCATTTCCCCGCAAAACACCGTGTGGGACTGTGCCTTGCCTATTTTAACCGGGGTCTGCATCTTCGCTCTCCTCACCCCCTCACAGACCCCAGGAATCTCCCTCCACTCCGCCTCCCTTGCAACTCTGGTCAGTTAACTCTTTGCTGGCAGGGGGAGAAACACTCGGGGACTCAACCTGCTCAGTAAACAAACTTTTCCGTCACACAGGGATAAGTTGTAAAGATTTCTTTGTTACCACTAAATAATGGAAGTTTGAATACTCCTGAAGTAGTTTATCATTATTTTTAATGCCATCATACATGTGAATAGCACTTTATAGAACTGCAGTAAAATGACAGTTCTCTGCTCCTACCATCTGACATTTGACCCAAGGAGAGGTGAAAGAGAGACTGGGAGGGAAGGTGGAGAGGACTGTCAAGATGGTGAAGAATGCATCCCGTTTGGTTGCACGCTCTTAAGATGACAGATTTAGAAACAAAAGCAAAATATTTGTACCATGAATAAAGCATCAACTAACTATACTTTCCAGACACAGTTTTCAGCAAGAAACTAATCCATTTTAAGTGAAAATGTTCATTTTAACTAGAGATATGGACTGGAACATGATTATCTTTGGGATTACATGTTTCTCTGAACGTTGTGGTACCCGGATGGATTCACCAACTCGGTGTGTTAGTGGAAGCCAGCCCAATGACTTCTGCTAGTGCAGCAGGGCTTTTGCAGCAGCCCTTGTCCCCTTGTGTACCCCTACATCTCCCCCACATTGCCCCAGAGGGTCAGGAGAAGCCCCAGAACAATGCATGGTGGGGGGAGAAGGGTGCTCATTTCATCCGGTGAGTAGAAATGCTTTTACTGGAAGAATAATGGTAATAGTGTGGTGCTGAATTCAATTTTTTCTCAAAAAATAGCAGAATTGTGTATTTTAAGATAAAGTAAATTTAGGAAGGCATACATTGAGATAAAATATGTACAAGATGGGAGCAGCGGAAGAAAAAATGTTAAAGTAATTGTATTAGAGGGATTTCTGTAAGGTAAGAGTTTGATATATAACACAGTAGAAAAGAGTTTGAACAAAAACACTCTGGAGGTGTGAGTGAGAAGTCAATGCATGAAGCAATGCAACTATTTAATTTGAAGTCAGTTTCGTAAAAAATAGGAAATTCAATAAATTTATATATAAAAGATAAAGTATTTACTTACAAAATCTCTCTAAGGTAGTATTTTGTGTGAATTAGCAATACACAGATGAATGCAACAATGGAATGGAATGGATTTAAGAATGAATATGTGCAGAATGAACATTTACCTAATAGTCCAGGTTGATAAGCTCCGAGATTAGGTCTTTCAAAACGGATCTCAAAAGCAAGAGCAGATTTATATGGAAGGAAAAAGTCATTGAGGCAGTCAGGTTCAGCAGTTTGAGCTTAATTATACTTTTTAATTCTTACTGTGTACATGGTAGGGATTGGGAGGTCATTTTCAGGACATAGGCTGCGATGAAAACATTGAGTAAGTGTTTAGTGTTCAGCTTGCAGAAAAATATGAAAATGTAAGTTCTGAGGGTGCATTCAACAGCACTTTTAATGCCTTTAATTTAATTCAGTGCCTGCCTTATTTGATGTGAGGGCTAACATAACACATGAAATGTCTACACCAGCTGTTCCTTGGCATCCATAATGTTCATGCAGATAACAATGCTAACCATGCTAATTGCAAATAGCTAAAGTATGCAGATTAGCCAAGGTTCTCTGGTCCATGACGTTTCCATTACAGCTCTGAAGCTGAATGAATTTGTGACAGTTTACGGAACAGTATCCACATTGACTTCCAAGTATGTGTCTTGCAGCTTAAATTCTTCAAATGTACATCAGTTTTGTTCAGAATAATGGTATTAAGACTGTGTTTCCCATATTTCTGATAGTTCAGGCAACCTTTTCTTTAAAATGGAGACAAAGCCACTCTTATTGCAGAAAATGTTTATTTTTAATAATTAGGAGTAAAACTGGCTGCTTTTAGAGGAGCCCATTCCTTGTGTGCTGTGCACTGACCACGAATACAAGCATGACTCCCAAATGGCAGGAAGCGTGCCCAGAACAGTAACTCATCCAGAGACGCAGGAAGCAGCCTCCTTGAAGGTGTGCACCTCTGCTGTGCTTTCACTTGGAGAGACTTGGAACAATACTATTACCTCTGAAGCAAGAAGCACAGTACACTTTCCTCCCTCTCTCCTTTCACAGAGGTTGATAGGAAAGACCTAAGTCCACAACATTTAATCTTTCAAGGACACCAGGCAGCCTCTCTTGTGTGGGTGGATACTTTGACCTCATGGGCACTTCGGATTATTTAATAACAACTTGGGACATTAGGAATTACTGTGTGAGGGACGGTTATTTAGGACCACTTGAATACTTGAGATTTTATTGCTGTGTATGGCTGGAAGATAAAGTGTAGGAGGTTCTTAATTTGTAAATATGTAGGTGCTTTGGTCTCTGAATACTGTATTGATAGTTCAGGTGCACTCTTCTCTTTCAGGATGGTTGAAACTGTCTTAGTTCATTTGACAAACTTCTGGAAGTCTCTCTCAGCTCAGATTCTTGCATGCACTGAAGTTGGCAGGGTTTTCATGGGGTTTGATCCTGTTGTACCTTATGAACAATTCAAGTTCTGCCAGTTCAGGATATTTTCATCTTTAGGAAACTGAATAAGCAGCAAATAAAACATATTTGCATTTTTTAAAAGGGTTTTGATCTGTTTCTGTTCTGTTTAGTCACTAGGCACAGATTATAGGGTGAATGCTGCTGTGGCAGCTGCTGCTCATGGAAGACTGGAGGCTCTTTACTCCAGTATCTGTCTGGGAGGCCGGGTAGAAAACTCTGAGAAGAATGTCTGTTCCTCCAGAATGTGCAGGCGAGACTGGATTTCTTACAGGACTGTGGTAAAGTAAACAGGGCTTTTGTTTCCAGAGTGTGATGATACCAAGTTTATGGGCACATTCTCGCATTCCTGGAGGCACTGGGGGTGGGGGGGAGGCAGTGGTGTGGTTACTTCACACAGTGGTTTAGCATCTCCTTTCCTGATAACTGGTGTATTGTCCTAGCTTGCTCAATATTTTATTTTAAAAGCTCTCACACTTTCAAAAGAATATAAAGAGCAGCAATGCCAAAAATGGCACAGAGCAGGTTTTAAAGATGAATTTGGGAAGGGGCAGGGTATCTTGTTCTAGAAAAGCTCTCCTGCAGTATGTTGAGAGAAACTCCCTCTGAGGATTTTTGCAGAGGGCCTTTTGAGATGCTGGTTGCTTACTAAGGTCAGTAAGTGTTGAGTTGGGTTGTTTTTTTGCTTGCTGGCACCATAAGCCTGTCCTCCATATTTGTTCAGTTAATTGCCTTTAAATGGGAATTTAAACTATAACTTTACTTTGGATCTTTATAATGTGTTGGAAAAGCTTCAGTCAGAGTAGGGCAAAGGTACACACATTCAGTGGCAAATGTGGGATTCCCAACCTTCTGTTTGGTTTTTTAGGGGCGTGGGATTGTGGAAAGAAAACTGCTGGCAGGAGGGCCTGTGCACAGACGTGGACCACTGTTTCCTGCGCACACTTTTCCTCTGCAGGCTCTTTTCCTGCTGCTTGTTTCCACCTGGCTAGCAAGTGCATCTCAAATCCCCCTCCATTGGGTTGGGGGAGGTGGTGCCTCTGAAATGCTGTAAATGTAGGAAGAGCTGAGCGCCCCTTGCTATACTTGGCTGCTGCTTCACCCTGCAAAGAGCCAACACAAGAGGTTGGGAATGCTGCCTTTGGTGGCAAAGATGGTGTTCCAGCCTTAGAGAGGAGGAGGTAGCAGCTGGATCTTTATAAAATTACATTTTTGCCTATAAAAGTATAATGTAACTGCTTGGCTAATGGTTCTTTTCAATAAATATATTGGAGACGTTGACAGAAAGAAACAAAAATCACCATTCCCTTGAAATTTCTTAGGCCTGGAAAATGTTGCAGTCTAAAGTATTAAAGCCCAGGAGGTGGTACAGAAATATGTAGAGTTTAAAATGAGTAAGCAGGAGCTTTTGGCTAAGGGGAGGCAGCATTGTAGCTGATTAGGCTGGGAATATCTGGTGAGTGGAAAAGAAGATGCTGTGAAGAAAATGCTGGTGGGTTGTAAATTGTTTTGTACACATCAAGGGGATTTAATATAGCAGGACATATTTCTCATGTCGCAACCGTCTTCCATGGCTCTCCCCAGTGGTTTCCAAATTCAGCCATTTAGTCTGGCCTTGGTTTTATGCACTTTAAATAGTTTAGAAACATTGGTGTCTGTGATTTACAAGAACTATAATTTTGTCCTGAAGGAAAACGGCAGTACGTGCTCTGAGTTAAGGAGGAGCATCTTTTAAAAGAGAAGCAGAGTCCTTAGGATCTTGGAAAGATCATGAGTAGATATTTCACCTCCCACAAGAGGGATGACATGCTAGCTGTAGCAAGTGCGACTTGGACTGGGGAGTGCCTTTTACAGACTATGTAAGCAGATGTCTTAAATTCTGGAAGGCAATGGCAGCATTGCTGAATGTGGGAAAAAGCTACTTCTCCCAGAAAGCTTTCCTTTATGGGCATTTTCTCTCCTGGCTGGTGGTCCTGAAAATAAGCTTTCTGTATGATATTGCATCCTGTGTCAGAATTAAGTTTATCCTCTAGCAATCTGTGGAATGGCACCGTACTGGAAACCACAGGAACTGCAAAATAAGCATTTCCAGCTGTCCTGGCTAAGGGAGTATCTTAATGAGAAATCTGCTGTGGCAACTGGGTTTTCATCCCAGGCTTGAGGGAGGCTCCTCGTCTCTGGGCTTGACCTGAATGGCAGCCACAAGCTTGTGTTCAAGTACACAACAACCTGTACCTTAAGAAAATAAATAAAAGACAAATAGAGAGTAAGAATTTCCTGGTTGCCCTTCTACACAAGGGACAACCTGGATAGCCATCACTAGCTGATGAATACAGTACAATAAAATTGTTTTTCTGTTGAGCAGAAACGTTTTGAAGGATTTCGCTTGAATCTTGATAAATAAGACTTTAGGATGGGAGGGGGGGATAGTTTCATAAGCTGGAACCCTCCTTTCAAAGAGAGGAATCTTGCTTGGTAGTATTGTAGCTTTAGGCTCTATTTTTATCCTAAATTTAGTTACCAACCATCTGGTGTTCCTGCACATGGATATAAAAGAGTAAAAGTGGTTTGCACAAATGCTGGCACTAATGTTTGAAGCCGCTGATGCAAGACAGAAGGCAGGGGCCTGGTTCTCACATCACTGGAAATCTCGGTGTATTGTGGCTTGTTAGAAGAGTGCAGGGTCATACAAATAACAGCAAGTTAGCCTCTGGTTTGTTTCCACAGGCTTGGGGAGCAGGACTGGAACAACTCACTGCTCATTCACAGAAATGATTTAAACTATTGTTTAATGTGTCGTGTGCACTGAGCCAGTATGCACAACTAGGAGTGGGCACCACTAAATTAAGAAAGACTGCTCATAAAGTCACCTTGCATACTGCAGAAAAAATTACGGACACGAAATTTCATCTTGAAAATGCTTTAATAAGGAAGTGTTGACAACACTGTTTTTGCAAAATGTAAAGGTAACTATACAAATTCTTAATAGAAAAAGAATAAATTAAAAGCAGATTTTTAAAAAAAAATTCTGCAAACTTTTCTACAACATAACATTTTTTCCCTTCCCCTTGATTACCGTTGCACAGGTTTCAGTAAAATCATTTTACATGCTCTACAGTCCATTTCAGAAGAGTTCTAATTTCCCCCTTATTTTAAACTAGAGTCCATTTTGCTCAACTTGTAATAAAACTATTGACATTAATATATATATATTTATATATATGTAAAACTTTACATCTAGTTAACTAAGCAGTAACTGGTCATCTGATAGCACCTGATTGGGGTTTGCTATGTCCAAAACTAAAACTAATACTGGGGTGGGAAAACAAAACAAAACAAACTGGACCTCCCCCTCCCCCTTCCCAACATTTCCAACACTCAACTGCATATAATATTATTTTAAAAATAAACCCTGCCAGGGTGGTGGTTTGTACATACGGACAAAATGCAATATTGGGTGAGGGACCTTTTCATGGATACAAAAGCAAAATTCAAGGGAGTTATTAGTGGGGGTAGTCAAGTGCTTGTATACAATAGCTATGGTTTACCCCTCATATCATACTCAAAACATGTTAATCTCCCGATTAACACTTTATGTACAGTTTTGTATAACTGAATTGAGTTAAACAGTAAAACCTGTTTTACTTAATTTCTGTCTTTACTACCAGACTGGCTCACAAGTGCCTTGACTGAAAAAACAAAAATGAAACACACCCTGCTCTCCCCTACTCAACATGGCCTCCCTCCCACCCGCCTTGAGAATGTTACTCTGCTTCTGAAAATTTGAGCCCATTCTCTATTGACTCAGGGCTGCCAGTATTGCTGCAAAATAACATGCCAGTTCTCATTAGGATGTAACAGATGGGAACTATTGGTCCATCAGGATCATATCCAAACAGCCCGATAAAAAAGGAGCCCCAGTCCATCCGGTTTCAGGTGTGACCATTGAAGCAGTGAAGCAAACTAGTCACAAATAACTTTTTAGCTAGACTGGGTGACTGTGATTTCCATTACTGTTGGTATGTTTACTAAGGTGATTTTGGCAAGCATTCCGATTCACTTTTCAGGTACAAATTACAACAAATCAAGTTGTTTAGATGGAGCCTGGAAGGTGAGTTTAATCAGTAATCTACCAGTTTTACCTGTCATGGCTTCTGCTAAAGAATTTACAGGAAGTGTAATTTAATGAAGGGGCTGCAAATTCTGTTAGCAGTCCTTTCATATGCTGAGAACTATAGTTCTCCACAGTGAGGGAATGAATGTTAAACCAGTTTAAGTCCATATACTACACATACCGTATTTTTCAGTCTATAAGACGCCCCCATCTATTTTTGGGGACTCAGATTTAAGAAAATGGCGGCAGCAGGGAATGTATCTGTGTATAAGATGCCCCCTAATATTTGACTTTATTTTTTAGGGGAAAAACCTAGTCCTATACACGGAAAAATACGGTACGTAAGTTGAGAAGGATGCGTCTAGTTGGTTGTCTTGGTTTGTGAAGCCATATGCTGGATGTTGCTAGCAGAGGGTACTACTACACACAGAGACACACAAAGAGAGGGGCAGCGTGTAGGAGAGAAGAAGCATTAACTTTGGAGAATTTCCTTGGTAAAACGTTAAGACGACGCCATTTAAGTTGCATGTTATTGTCATAGTTTATTATTTTGCTGATACTTCATTTTTAAGAGAGACTAAATCAATACATTTTCCAATCTTATTTTAAGATGAGATGTTTAAAAGCAACATTGGCTGCAAACCTGTAATTGTTAAGGTGCTTGGACTTCAGTGTTGCTTAAGCCTAACTTGGTGACGGGCTGGTTATTGCTTCAAATGAAATGTCATTTGTTCTGTTCATCACAATGGCATATGGACACAAGGGCTTAAGATGTGGATGTTTACATAATGCCTTCTTGATGAATATGAAATAGAAATAAGACAACCTGTTCTTGTGCTATTTGCTTCAGTGATCTCACTCTTGCTTGTGATTTTAGCTTGTTCTTTCTCTGCTTTTAGACAGACCCTTACTGAGTCTTAACAGTAGGGCTGGGTGATATATCAATATATCGTCCAAAACTGGCTCAAAGTCCATATTTTGAAACTGGCTTCATAATTTTTGACCTGGCAATATATCACAAATCATGTGTGTGTCTGTGTGCACGCTATGCAAATATCACAATGCAAGAAAAACCATGAAGCCAGCCATTGCCTCTTCATAGCTCCATCCTTATTTTGTGATAGATCGGTATATTGCAATGTTTAGCTGATGATATATCAGATATTGCCCAGCCCTACTTAACAGTGCAAAGTCTTCTACCATTCCTTCTTGGAAGAGCAGTAGTTCTTTTGTTCCATTTGGGAGAATTTAGGTTTCTTGTGTTCCTGGTGTTTGTGGAATCTTTCTTTTTTTTCTTCAACAAGATTGGCCTTTAGGGCTTTTCTTCTTTTCTTTTTAGAGCCTCTCTTCAGTTTGTCAGCTGCATGCACACAAACATAACATTTGGGGAAGGGGGGCAAGACACTTGGCCGTTGGGTGGCACAACAGCAGCAGCACACCACAGTGAAGACCTGGTGTGCCTGCTCTCATATCTGCTCAGATCAGGGCTTGAGCAACTGGTGGCACCAGAAAAGGGCGTTCTGGTCCTCACTGTTGTCCATCCAGGGGCAAAATACTAGTGGCATTGGGACTTGGGAGGTGGTCTATGGGCTTGGGAGGGTTGTTATGATCCTTGCTTCTTCCTGGCCATTCCTTTTCCATGGTGGTCCTCCAGCAAACTAGCAGTTGACCAGGGACCTAGAAATTTGTGCATTAGTTCATTATAAAAGTACTGAGGCCTTGTGAAGTATGATGGCTTTCTAGAAGTGTATAAAAAAGCATTGCTCAAGTGTACATGTAAACTTGTAGTTTCCTCTCTTTTGGTATTGGCAGACAACCATACTTCGTGTCAAAAGGTTTTGTAAGCTCTTCATGATTCATCTTAGGAAAGCAACCTAAACTGCTCGTAAACAAATAAAAACTGCCAAGCACTCCTCTTTGAAGCATAGTTCACTTCCCTGGCCAGTCAATAAGCCCTTCACCACACAAGTATTACTGTATTTTGCTGTCAAGCTTACATGGTGTGCTTTTCCGTGATGTGAGACATTTTCTAGGCAAATTGATTTTAAACAAAACAACGCTTTTTGGCATTTTACTTCACAACTGATCATAGAAATCATCTGAAAAATTTATTGGTTGTTTTACTTGCAACTAATCACAGGAACGTTAAAAAGAAGCAATTCCTTGCCCTTGTTCATCTTTTCAGAGTTTTCTCAGATGATATCTGCCCAGGTTGTGGGGTGCGTATCATCATAGAAGTGTGGTGCTTAGAGCATCAAGATGGAAGGCAAATTACAGAATAGTAGTGTTACTGTTTCTGAAAAAAATGGATACTTTTAAATGCATCATAAAACAGCTACTGAAATCTTTGGCAGCACAGAACAGTTGCAGTACAGTATTCTGGCTCACTCTGAAATGGTAGGATCATTCTCCATTCCCTACAGTCTTTTTCTGCAATGAAAAGGGTATTTCATGATAGCTGTCACATTAGAGTTAACTAGTACTTTGACTTTAGAGTTCAAATCATATATGTTAGAACAGTTGTACATATCAAAGAAAGAGGCTTATGCAACCTTGAATGGTTTGAATTGACTGCCTGTGGTGTTCTTAACATCCACGTTATTTGTAAATTTGCCCTCTGCTCTGGGGTGATCTCTGTGAGGCACATGGCAGTTTGAAATAACCAGGAGTGAAGGAATTAGTTTTCCGCTACTGGTTGAGGATGGATCTGTTTTTCTAATATCATCTTCAGTTGCCTTATGCAAAAAGTGCTTTGACTTGAAGCTGGTATCAGGCGCCAGTGTAAGGCAAATGAGAGGCAGTGAGGTGATTTTTCAGAATGGCATTGATGCGTTTGAACAGCTGAGGTCAAGGGGATTCACACAAGAGTTCCAGGCTTGGCTTTCTCCTGTCCGTACCACTGGACATCAGCTAGTTCTGGATAGAGGGGAGAATCCAAGTAACAGCTATCACTGCAGCTCCTGTAGAGAGAAGGGACAGAAACTCAAATTAGCACATTGGGAAGAGGCAGTAGAACTACAACCTCAGAGACTAGAGCAATGGAGGTTGAAGAAGTAGAGAAAACACACTCTTGCTAACTTTCATGTGCATTGCTGCTGTAAGATGAGTGGGGAAACCTAAGGGCTGGGGGCAAATGAGGCCATCAGAACTCCTCCCCAGCTTATTTGCCCAGCTGGAATGCCTCTTGATTATGCCTCTTGATTGTCTGGATGGAGGAGGGAGAGAGAGAGAGAGGTGTATGCATGTGTAGAAACTAGGTTGCTTGGACAGAGGACACAGAACCATACAATTATAGAATCGTAGAGTTGGAAGGGACCACAAGGGTCATCTATTCCAAACTCCTGCAATGCAGGAATGTCTCTGCTAAAGCATCCATGACAGATGTCACCCACCCTCTGCGTAAGAACCTCCAAGGAAGGAGAGCTCTTACTGTCAGGACGTTCTTCCTGATGGTTAGTTTGAATCTCCTTTCTTGCAACTTGAAGCCATACTTTCAGGTCCTAGCCCCTGCAGGAGGAGAGAGCAAGCTTCCTCCATGTGACAGCCCTTGAGATATTTGAAGATGGCAATCATCTTCAGTCTCCTCTTTTCTAGGCTAAACATACCCAGCTCCCTCAACCACTCATCACCAGTCTTGGTTTCCAAACCCCTGATCATCTGGGTTGCTCTCCTCTGCACATGTTCCAGCTTCTCAACATCCTTCTTAAACTGTGGTGCCCAGAGCTGGACACAGTGTTCCAGGTGTGGTCTGACCAAGAAATATAGAAACCTCTGACTTCTTCTGCACAAAAGTAAGAGTCACATGCTGCACCACTCACTTTTGCTTCTGGCCCTGCACACCACCATCACAGGACCCTTGAAAGGCCTCCCAGAAAGGAATGTGGCTCTTGGCCTGAACAAGGTTCCCCACCCAGCCTCCTGTGAAATCTTTCTCAGTGTAATCCTGAGTCTAAAGCTATTGGCGTCTAAAGCTAACCATGCACCATCACATCAATTCTGCCACACTGTTTAAATAGCAAACCCTATTTGATTTGTGTGTTTTTGAAAGTTAAAGTACATCATTGGCCCAGAGCAATAGTAACTATCAGAGGAATGGGAACTTGGCCAATCATGGAGCAAACATCTTATCTATTTGAAGGGAAGGGCATGCCCAGATGAAGGAAGGAAGGAACAGGAGTGGACAGATACATGCAAGCACACAAGCATTCAGAGACGGGAGCATGCATAAAGCAGTGTCTTGTAACTGCGTTACAGTTTGGCCCCCTCTTGTGCACTATTCCCCAGCTCATGAGATTAGACTCCTCCCACTGTCCCAAGAAGAAATCTAGGCTTTAAACAACAGCCTGACCTACTGAAGCTGCTCTCACCTGCACTCCATGCTGGGAAAAGGTTTCACCTAATAAATTTCCATGTATCAGTCTGCTTGGAAGGGTACACTGTCAAAGTGAGGGGGGAAATGACACACCTAGGGTAACCTCATTACTGGTTCAGGTAGTGTTGGTCTGACGCAGTCGAAACAAATTAAAAAATTGTCCAGTAGCACCTTAGAGTCCAACTAAGTTTGTTCTGGGTATAAGCTTCCTGTGCATGCACACTTCTTCAGCTACGCACATGAAAGCTTATACCCAGAACAAACTTAGTTGGTCTCTAAGGTGCTACTGGACAATTTTTTAATTTTTCTCATTACTGGTGGCAAATCTGACACCAAACACCAGCAACTGCATGTGATTTATCCCGGGGAGATGTTACTTTAAGTTAGCAAATATAAAGAAATACTTGTGACTGTACAGGGGGACTTTTTTTTGTCACTAGTGGTTTTACACACATTTAATTAAGCATGGGTCTAACTGTTAGAATCTGTATTTTTCTGCATTTTACTTCCCTGCTTGCAATTCCCACCCCCAACAAGGTGCATAAAAATTGCATTTAGTAATCCATCACAAGAAGTATTTAGATCCGAATTCAGCAGCCTGGTGTCCTGGCACATGTAGTGCCTAAGGCTGGTGAGAGTTAAAGTCCAAAACATCTGGAGGGCAACAAGTTGGCGAAGGCTGCTTCAGATAAGACTTTGTTGGTTAACCTAATGGAAACTCAACAGAATGAAGTCCTATGGTCAATAATCAGTTAACTTGGCAGCTGTATGCTTCTAGAAAGTACTTAATGGTGCCTTTTCTAAGACAGTTTTAAAATAATAATAATAATAATAATAATAATAATAATAATGACATGAAACCTTGTTTAACACCACCTGTAGCGGGTCATATTTGGGGGTTATTAATTGAAAAATGGCACTGTTGGTTTACAAGCCTCTCCTTGCCTGTGACAAAAATTGTTTCCAGGTGGTTGGGCAGATTCTCTCCCCCCCCAACACAGTAAATGTAAACATAAAAGACTCTCTCATTTAAAGACAGCACCTATCTGCAACTTGGAATCATGCATATCTCATGTATTGGGTCTAATGGATGCAAATAACTAGCTAGTAATGAATTCACATTCCCATAAAACTCTAGCACAGGGTGCTTTTGAAAGAAGACAAAATCCACAGGGAAACAAAAGGTGGAGGGGCAGAGGCAGGGAGGGTGGGGTGGGGGGGTCCAATATAGAAAACATCCCCTCACTATACCTCTATTCATCAGTACTCTGTTGAGTTGGAGACTGAGACTCATCCATAGTGGGTGAGTTGTCTGTAGCGTCTCTGAGCAAAGGATAGGCAAAAGAGAAAGAGGAAAGAGGAGATGTTAAAGAAAAACAGTGACACAAAACACTTGTTAAGAGCTTATTAATCCAGCCAGAAACAGGTTGGTGAATCATCTTTGAAGACAAAAAGAAGTTAGTAACACAGGGAGAATGCTAAGGAGAATTTTAAGCACTCTGATTTGTGTGCGAAGGATATGGGGAAGGGGCGTGGAAAAAGAAAACAAAATATTGGGGTTTTTTTTTTGCTGGGCAAGGCAACACAATTCCCACAGTGACAAAAGGAGCTGGTCTCTAGAAAGCACACAGTTCTTACCATGTTTTAATGTATCCGGGTATGCAAGTTGGTGCTTGACTTGTTTTCTTTAAGTACTAACAATACCCAGCATTTATAAAGCAGATCCCATCTTTTCACAGCACTTCACACAGACTCTTGGGAATCATGACAGCCTTATTCTCCCCCTATTGCTTCCCGTGCAACAATGAAGCGGAGCCACTGATCCTGCTCAAAGCCAGCATTTGAACCACAGACCATACTTTTAAACACAGCATTTGAAACACAGCTCATACTTTGAGGCACCCCACCAACTATGGACTATTTTTGGTAGTGGAACATTTGAGAGACAAAATTTATATTATAAGAATATAATAATAATACTTGGTTTAAGAACAGCTTAGTTTATGAACAACTTGGATTAAGAACGCTGCAAACCCGGAAGCAGGTGTTTTGGTTTGTGAACTTTGCCTTGGAAGCAGAACATGTTTCTCTTCCTGTTGAGTGTGTTCCATTTGTAAATTGTAAATTGGTTCCCACCGCTATGGGAAAGCACACCTTGGTTTAAGAACAGACTTCCGGAATGGATTAAGTTCGTAAACCAAGGTACCACTGTAATATTAATCTTATATGCCGCTCCAACTGGGCTGCCCCAGCCACTCTGGGCGGCTTCCAACAAGCATTTAGTCTGCTGCATTTGTATCCTGCCCTTTGGCTAAGAATCTTTTGCAGAGTTCAGGAATCCAAGAGACACTGGGAGGGCTCCAGCTGTAGGGGGAAGGAGTGCTGCTGCTCTGCCAAATGTCTGCCCCTCCTGTCCCTTATGGTTTGCAGAGATTCTAACGGAGCTGACTGTGGTTGGAAGGTCTTTGTGGTCAACGCATGAAAGGCTGGAGGAGGATTGGGGCTGGTGCACAAACTGCTGTAGTTTAAACTCTCACACTTAAAAATGTCTGAAAAGGCTATAGAGCGTGGCTTGCCAACATGGTGCCCTCCAGATGTTGGACTCACAACTCCCATCAGCCCCAGCCAACATAAACAATGATCAGGATTGTTGTTGGGAGTTGTAGTTCAACAAATATCTGGAGGGGGCGCAGAGTTGGCTCCCCTTGCTTCAGAGTGTCATACATGCACCTTATCCCATTTTGCCCTTATCACAACTCTGTGAGGCAGGTTGGGCTAAGAGATGGTGATCAGCTTAGCGTCGTCTTGTGATGGCCTTGGCTAAGCAGGGCTTCAAACCCTCGTCCAAGTTCGGTGTTCTGCCACATTGGATAGTATCTATTGGTTTTGTTCCGGAGAAGCAGGAGAAGTTCTGTCCAGTGGGAAATGGCCAGCTAACCTAACTCTGAAATAGCACTTTGGAACATCAGACATGTATAGAGTGCAGGGGGTCCAGGAGGGCATTTGCAATGGTGTTTCTGGAATGGCCTTCGCCAGTTGCCTCAAATATTGCCATTCATTTAAAACAAAAAGCTAAATTCCACTGTGCTTGATTGAATTTGAACTCCTTCCAAATGTGCACACACTGTGGATTTCTACAAAATGAAACTTGTGGAAACAGGTCCAGACCACGGGAATTTGACTGGGAGCTTTTTGTTGACTCACCCCTCCCCTTTTACAATTAAATGAAGACATCTGCACGGGTAATAAAGACAAGCAGGGTATATGGCCACATAGAACAAATGACCTGCACTAGAGCTCCAATCCTAGGCACGTTCACCTGGGAGTAAGTCCCACTGAACTTACTTCTGAGTAGATATGCATCTGGTTGTGCTGGATGTGTGGCTTGACTAGCATCTAGGGAAGATGGGTCAGAAACGGAAAGCACTGCCACCGAGTGCCCACCTGTGCCCATACTCACCCTGTCTGCCAGGCCAGGATGTGATGTGGGCTGCTGGGTGGTGTAGCCGCAAGCTCACTAGATGGTGTGGAGCTCCTCTGACTGTGCGGTAAGGCAGCTGGAAAGAAATGGAGATAGATAGATATAGATACACACACACACACACAAATATAGTTAGGGGGACTGGAATGCAAGGATGCTGTTACGTCTGTGCAGTAGTAACTCATGGAACGGAGATGAAACATGGCATATTATTTGGTATAAAATCATAAGTGCAAGTTAATTATTTCTTCAGCACAGCTGCCCATGCCACGGCTTACCACAACATATCCAGCCTCTCCTTTTCACTCTCCCCCCAGCCCCCACCCTTCATGCAGTTTCAAAGGGAGGTAGGTCTGCGTGGAGTTATCTGTGTGTGACTACAAGGACTGACAACATCCCTTGTCTTCCTTCAACCTCAGGGAGATGAGAGACCATCTCAAATGTCAACAGGAGTTTGACATTGCTGCTGCTGCTGCTGGGGGCCAGCTGTCTTGCTCCATTGCAACTCAGCCCCATGGAGCACCAGCCACTGGACCCCATTGGACACTGGAGGTTCACAGCTGGCGATGTTAGTAACAACTGCAGAACCTTGAGAGACAATAAGTTTTCCGAAGCAGTACCTTCAGGGCAAACTCTTAACATACACTTCATATTTTAGCTTCCTTAAGTTAATTAAAGAAGGAAAACATTTACATTTTATTTCTGAAAATACTTTAACACTTTATCCATTTCACCAAAAGATTAAATAACTTGGTGAAGTTCTTGGTGAGCAAGTCTTGTGAAAGTACCGTATTGGCCCAAATATAAGCCGCCACCCCCATTACAGGACAACCCAAGCCTCTCGTCTCCCAAGCCTCTCCCGGTGCCAGCTTGAGGAGAGTGCCGGCTGCCCCCCCCCCCCGTTCAGGGCAGTAGAGCTGGGAGGTGAGCCACACCCGCAAATAAGCCTTGGATTTTAAAGGTGCGGCTTATTTGCAGGTACGTCTTATATTCCGGCCAATGTTTCAATTCCTGATTTATTTTGATTGCCAAATTGTATAAAGGTTGGAGTGAGTTGGTAAAAACATAGAAAGAACTTCTGAATAATTTGGGGAATTACCTTGCCTCCTTTCTAACTTTTAATTTGCCCTGTTGAGTAATAACAATTCTAGAAATAAAAGCTATGCAAGTGGCCTTTTACAAGTACAGCTAATGTGGATGTAAATTCTAATATAATATAAACAAACATTCTTCATGATTTTGCCTGTACTGGGAGAAAAGCCATCCTTGTTGCTGATTTTTAAAAAGTTGTGTGGTGCCAGGATTTCATTGTTTATGAGCTCATTTGAAGAATGGAAACTAATAATAATAGTAATAACAATAATAATATATTTATACCCCGCCCATCTGGCCAGGTTTCCCCAGCCACTCTGGGCAGCTTCCAACAAAATATTAAAATACAATAGTCTGTCAGACATTAAAAGCTTCCCTAAACAGGGCTGCCTTCAGATGTCTTCTAAAATTCTGGTAGTTGTTTTTCTCTTTGACATCTGGTGGGAGGGCGCTCCACAGGGCGGGTGCCACTACCAAGAAGGCCCTCTGCCTGGTTCCCTGTAACTTGGCTTCTCGCAGCGAGGGAACTGCCAGAAGGCCCTTGGCACTGGACCTCAGTGTCTGGTCAGAACGATGGGAGTGGAGACGCTCCTTCAGGAAGAATTTATTAGAAGAGCATTCTCATCATAATTTGGTAATGAAATCCATTTGTCTTCAATTTTAAATAATAATGCTTAGCATTTATATAGTGCTTTAGAGTGCTCCAAGGGTTTCACATGC